AGTTGAGAATGGTATCTGCAACACATTGGGATCAGCCGATCGGGAAACAAATCTAAACACCATTTGAGCATAGATGTGGCGATGAATGAAATTGTGCATATTAATGTTTAGAATAATTACCTTACATGTATCCTATTTAATAGAAGATTTACAACGAGCTGTTTCTATATATGAAATTAGGCTAGTAACAAAACAAATGTAATTCTGGATGTTTTACGTCTCTTGAAACACAGCGCATCAGGTGAGTAACCAAGCTAATTTAATTCTAAAACCGAGAGCAGCAGGAAAGTATAACAGCGACCACCACAGGTCCGGTTCCTTGCTGGCCAGATATAAGGGCAATCAGAAAAGTGATGTGGCCATTCCAACATTGTTAACATGACATCAAGTTCCTTATATACATATCACATGCCGGGATTGTTAAGAAGGCGTGTGCTGTTACTCTCGCAGTGTTCCTTCCATAGCAATACAGATCCAAAACGGTGCCTCAGGTGAAGAACATTAATGATAGACGCATTGCCTTCGTGAGAAAAGAGCACATCAGAGAAACAACTTCAAGCCTCGTGTCACTTCGTATTTGCCCTTTACTGAGTGACGCTAGAGGTGAACATAATCAAATATAAACTAAACCCTCTGGAACAATGTAATGGAAGGACAAATATTTTGAAGTGCCATTCGATACAAATTAAGAGCACATTCAGTCTTGATGTGTTGGTGACAGAAAGTGTGAAGGATAAACCGAGCCCTGGAGGTACTTCTGGAGGCAATTCTGTCCCCTCTTCACCCATGATGCTGTGAAGCTGGCAGTGGACGAATGTCCTGCTGTAGTGCTACTTTCATGCTGCGAAACAATTTGCTCAAATGTTTAAAGAATTGTTGAACATAAACCTCACTGACATCTTGTAATATCAACAAGAAAACGTTTCCCTGCAACCCAATTCATTCGAGGTGGGACAAAAGCCTTGCATTGGTGTGTGCGTACGGTTGTACGTCATTTTTAGCAATAATCCAGCAAGATCACCAGAAAGCCTTCACACTTTGTACCCATGTCTGGAATCGAACCTGGGTCTACCTCCCCATCTCCTTTGGAGAATACAAGTACCTTGATGTCGTCACTGACACATTAATCAGGCAAACTCGACTTCATTTCTCCAGTATATAGCAACAAAGATATCAACGTTTTGTGATTCTCTTTTCCAAAACGGTAGGCCAAGACACGAACGTAACTGACACATTAAAGAAACGAACGAGTGGACAGCTGTGAGTGATCTGCGGTAGAATTTAAGTTCAGTTTCGACCTTTGCTGATTTCTTGCAAATCCTTGGAGTACAAACAACTATGCTTGAATTAACAATAGCTGAAGAGAATGGACACCGCTGCTACCGTTGTGTTTGCACGCGCAATAGAAGATGGACTAAGTGATTGTGCTGACAGATCGGAATCTCTGTGAATCTGTTCAAAGGTTAAACTGAAAAAGTAAATTTCATTTAGAAAAGAAACACTGAGAGCTTACTCTTTAATTTAGCATTATCTGTGATCTGAAACCTATCAATACGTAAGGCGATTTGCTGACATTATATCTGGTTCTTCAGTGCTCAAACAAGTGTGAGATCTCTGTGTTCCAATCGCAATCTCTTTCAAGATTCAGATGACAGGGGGAAATTGCCACACCCTGGGAAAAATGACAGATGGAGAGCAATATGTATGCTTCAGCCTGGTACCACGCAGCATTGATTCAACGTCCATTGAAACGCCAGTTTGCACTTACGGCGACGTTTTCAGCTGAAGAATTACGTTAACGGCCGCCCCCGTAGTGGTCGCCCACCAGTTACGACCACACGTCAAGACCAATAGATTCGAACCACGTCCCTCTGACATAGATTCCAGCCAGCAACCCTTACAGCCCGTACCTCTTACAGCCCGTACCTCTTACAGCCCGTACCTCTTACAGCCCGTACCCTTACAGCCCGTAACTCTTACAGCCAGTCCCTCTTACAGCCCGTACCTCTTACAGCCAGGTACCTCTTACAGTACCTCTGCCCGTAACTCTTACAGCCCGTTACTCTTACAGCCCGTAATCCTCTTACAGCCCGTAACTCTTACAGCCCGTAACTCTTACAGCCCGTACCTCTTACAGCCCGTACCTCTTACAGCCCGTAACCCTTACAGCCCGTACCTCTTACAGCCCGTACCTCTTACAGCCCGTAACTCTTACAGCCCGTACCTCTTAGCCCGTAGCCCGTAGCCCGTAACCTCTACAGCCCGTACCGTACCTCTTACAGCCCGTACCTCTTACAGCCCGTAACTCTTACAGCCCGTACCTCTTACAGCCCGTAACCCTTACAGCCCGTACCTCTTACAGCCCGTAACCCTTACAGCCCGTACCTCTTACAGCCCGTAACCCTTACAGCCCGTACCTCTTACAGCCCGTACCTCTTACAGCCCGTAACCTTACAGCCCGTACCTCTTACAGCCCGTACCTCTTACAGCCCGTACCACTTACAGCCCGTAACCCTTACAGCCCGTACCTCTTACAGCCCGTACCTCTTACAGCCCGTACCTCTTACAGCCCGTACCTCTTACAGCCCGCCTCTTACAGCCCGTACTTTACAGCCTCGTAGCCCTACCTTACAGCCCGTACCTCTTACAGCCCGTACCTCTTACAGCCCGTAACTCTTACAGCCCGTACCTCTTACAGCCCGTACCTCTTACAGCCCGTACCTCTTACAGCCCGTAACCCTTACAGTCCGTAACTCTTACAGCCCGTAACCTCTTACAGTCCGTAACTCTTACAGCCCGTACCTCTTACAGCCCGTACTTCTTACAGCCCGTACCTCTTACAGCCCGTACCTCTTACAGCCCGTAACCCTTACAGCCCGTAACTCTTACAGCCCAGTCCGTACTTCTTACAGCCCGTACCTCTTACAGCCCGTAACATACCTGGCAACAGAGGTGTGTCTGCGAGAACAGAAGATGTTGCCAGATGCCAGATCATCGACGTCGACGTCTCCAGTGTAGCAGACTACTCTTGCGTTGGGACTACGTGAGTGGAGAAGAGTTCTCTTCACCAATGAGCCACGTTTCCTTCTTCACCGAGCTTACAACAGGACACATTACATCAGGCCATGGTTTGGAGGTGGTGACGTATGATGTGAGGTTAAAACATACCTGCGGCAAGGACGTCAATGATTGTGATTGAGGGGAACTTGAACGCAGTGAGGTACCGAGAAGAGATGTTGCAAATGGCCGCTTTACCGTTTTTGCAACAGAGGAGCGTGAGACACGTTTCAACACGATAGCTCCCTGTCACACATTTCTCGAGTTGTAGAGCATTATGTTAATAAAGAACGTTAATGTGTTACCCTGGTAAAACAAGATTCCCTAATTTGTCATCCAGAGACCACGTCTGGGATGAAATGGAGGGACATATACGCCCTCATCCGGATCATCCAACAACCCAGCAGAGTGAGTGGGAGAGTTTTACGCCGCTTTTACCAATATTCCAGCAATATCAGGGCTGGGCACACCAGAAATGGGCTTCATACATTGTGCCCATGTGGGAAATCGAACCCTGGGAATTGAACCCGGGTGTAGGAGTGATGAGCGAACGCTTTACCCACAAGGCTACGCCACCGCTCTTTGATAACAGGAACCTGCCACAACAAATGAATGGAAGTCAGTTTTGCAGAAACTACGACAACCATGTTCCCTTCCATTTTAAATCCCAGACAGATCCTCAGTGCACCATAACACCACCAACAGCCACCAACAACTTCCAAAAATACATGACTAACTGGTCAGTTAAGAGAAAAGGACAACAGATGTTTCAAAGCAAAATATTTTATTAACAAAAATACTTTTCCAAAAATAAGATAAATCTGTTATGCAATTATACAAAAATGGAATATTTTTATTGAGAAGACATAACAACATAAATGGATTAAACCACATGAATTATTTCACATGTCCTTTCTAATCTTCTTCAACATCCATATATAGGAAGCTGATCTCAAAATATTACCTTGAATAACACATGAAGCATTTACACAATTCTACTTATATCTCCAGGGATTGATCTTTGGTGGGAAATTTTCACCCATGGAAAATATCTGTATATGTAGTACTGGTTACAAAAACAAGTTGATGTCTGTGTGTGAAGACTTGACACTGTGGCATCTTGCATCTGACACAGAAAATACTTTTGATATAAAATTAACTTTTGTCAGTTACAAAAGTTGTTTTTTTATCTAAGTAACTGTGAGGTCCTGCAGTTAACCAACATGTGTGACCTTGCAACTGATATAATGGGGTCAGTTAAAGTTGTTTTGACCACTTTGACTAGTGAGTAAGTTGGGTTTTATGTCACTTTTAGCAATATTCCAGCAATATCATGGAGAGGGACACCAGAAATGGGCTTCACACACTGTACCCATGTGTGGAATCGACAAGCGAACTATTTAACCACTAGGCTACCCCACTGCCCACGACTAGTGTTTCGGATATGTAAGACATAATTATTCAAACACAGAAGATGTGGATCTAGTTTTTCAAAAAGGGGAGAAGGCTCTGCAACCATAAATCTTATAAAATAATTGAAACTTCAAGACATGCAACTGTTAGTCGTTTCTAAAATTGGGTATGCACCAAAACAAAGGCTGTACTCTTTATAAGGCAACATTTACTGATAAAAACAACAACTGAGATGACCCCGACTCATGATTTATTGAACTGTGAAGCATTTCGAGTCGTGGGTCATCTCAACTTATTTTTTCATCTTTAATCACCCTAAAGACACATGGGCCTGTGAGTCGTGAATGGTCATCTCAACTTCTTAAAAAAATATTGTAACTAATTTTTTTTCATCTTTAATCATCGTAATCATGAGCATGTTGTAGATGTTGTCTTGCAAAGTGTAAGGTGCACAGAAGTTGTAGTTTCAAAGGATATGGCAAATATGCAAATATTGACAATAGAAACACGTGAAACCCCTATATTCTTCCTTGAGAGACAGTTAGAATGAGACACTCATTGTGTTAAAGTATCACCAGTAAGAAATACAGGAAACATACTCTCACATCTCTGAGGTACATGCAACAGTTTCTTGAAGATATCTATGACACTTGATGTCACCTTATCAACTTCTGTCGAGAGAGACTCAAGTCACAATACATATAAACATATCTTCTGCATCTTCAAGTGTGCTGGAATGTGGATTTCTTTGAACACATTTGGAATACGAACTCGTAAGTACTAGCAGTCCAGTGTTGCTCAGTCCTGAACCGTCAGTGTGGAGACCCGCTCAGCAATTCCTGCAACACAATACTCTGTTCTGATTCACAAACTTCAGGTCACTCAATTTCAGACTTTCAAAAGGCATTTTCAAAGCACCCACTTAATATAGGGGGGAGGGTTTTTTTTTTTCAGGAATGTGTCTGAATCCATGACCAGCTGGCCTTGGTAAGTCTGTAGACCAAATGTAACATGTGACTTAAATAAGACAATGACAAGAGGTCTTTCAGCCTTTTAATCAGTGGCATATCTTCAAGATTAAAACACCAAATATTCTAGAGTAAGTATATCTATATAATTTGAGGATAATGAGGACCTCTGATAAATGTGCATTGGCTACCTACAAGTACCTCTCAGCCTGGGCTCCTTTCATTCCAACAAGAAACAATGAAACGTTTTTCATCTTAATTTTTCATGCTGCTGTAGAAATTTATGTCCTATATTATGTCCTATACTCACTAATTAAATAGGTCAGCTTCATATTTCATCATCTGCATTTTTTTAAAGTTAGGTTCCAAAGTAAATTGGATCAATACACATAATAAAATTAATTTTTATAAAAAATATCTAAATTTCTAAATTTCATGGAACAAGTTCCACAATAAGTGTCAAACATTTTATTTTTTATTTCTATTTTCTATTCACCCTCCCACTCTATCGCTGGCTGAGGTTATAGATGAGCAACACATAAAATATGTGGATGAGCATTATGATACCTGTAAATCACAGCGGTCTGTTGCCAGCAAGCCAGTACAGTGGAAGCTCCCTAAACCGGCAGCCCCCCAATCCGGCATGCTCTTAATATCGGCACTAGAATTTGGTCCCAGCAGAAGCTAGTTAATTTATGATCATTTACACGCCCTCTAATCAGTTGTCAGTCTATTCCATATTTCAGCATAACAAAGGCCGCCCAATTGACTGTTTGGACAGTAATTAACGCTCTCTAAATCAGCATCACGTATCTCGGCCTATTTCTGGTCCTATTTTGAAAGAGAAAGCAATTCAGTTTGCTACAGAATTAAATGTCAATGAGTTTAAGGCATCAGATGCCGTTTTAGAGGGCTTCCACTGTATTTGAATGTATAGGCAGGAGCAATGAAGGTACAATAACACACAATCAGCCAGGTCACATCCAGGGACCCAAACCACAACCATAACGTAAATTGAATGACTGCCATCAAATTATTCAGTTTGATGCTTGATATCTTACAAGGCTTGGTAACACAAACTACTTAGTTTGGACACTTGATTTCCAATCAATCTATAACACAGGAACAAAACTTTATTATATTTTCATGTTAATACATACACCTCAAATTTCCTGCTCTATTCAGGCATAATGAATCAAATGGCAGGGCTCCAGATAACTTTTGGGGGTGCAAGTGTACTTACACATCATATTGCAAGTGGAGGTGTACTGAGAATTTTGAAGGAGTACTGACATGTTTTTGTGTGAGCGAGTTGGTGATGTGGTTTGTCTGGACGATTCATCGATCACTATTTCCAACCATGTATTTGTATTTGAAGACGCGTGAGAAATAACTGAGCGACCGTGTGATGCGCGAAATGTCAGGTCCGACTGGATATAAATAGGAACAGTGTAGTTTTTAGCCAATCGAAAAATAGTGACGCATATTGTTGCATGGCAACGCAAGTGATTCCTACTGTTGGGGTTTCCTCATGTGTCAAATCGTGTTTCGCAAAAGAACTTGACAAGTATTTATCCGAAACAGATTTCCATTTGCACGATACGCACGGAAATTAAATGATAGACGTACAAAAGGTATTTATGTGCATACACGATAAGCTTGAAATCTTATATTATGTCGTACTTAATTGATTTTGAGGCGTACATCACGCCTGTACGCCCCTTATCTGTAGCCCTGAAATGGCTTGTAATTTACTGGTGAGGATTACCCATTTGCATTGAACACAACATATTTTATGGTAGCCTCTTTCAATATAGCATCTTATATGACGGCCCTGGAGATGCAACAAAAAGAGGAAAAGCTTTTCCATGAAAATTATTCATTTGTCCAGATGAATAAGAATTCTATCATGACTTCAGTAAATACTTGATTGTGATTGGTTAATAAAATTCATTCAGAGGTATATAATCACGTTATACAGCTCACTGATTTTCCGTGTGCTACGCGTTCAGTTTTAAATCAAATTTAGAGCTATTATAATTTCGTTACATACCTCTGATTTTTCCACACAGTATGTTTATCTCCTAATTAAACTATGTCTACTTCAATCCATGCATGCTTGGGAATAGGCAAACCTTAAGATTTAAGAGCAATTCAGAAAGATTATTTTTCAATATCGAAAATGAGCAATCTTACACACCAAGTAAAATTATCTTCTGAATTGAAAAACATGTCTTTTCACACTTTCAGAAATCCAAAACGTGCAAGTGAATAGTAAAACTGCCAGCTATGTGAGAATATGTCAAATAATTTTCCAACAAAAAATTCAAAGTTTGACATTTCCATGAGAACAAGAAGATCCTTTATCCAACCTCATGCTTTAAATCAAGTGATTCATAAAACACATAATATGTAGGATGACTCTAACATAAAGTATTATAAAACTGTAGGCATTAAAGATCAGTGATATTACAGAGAAAGTGGGTCTCAGTTTACACAAGGCTTAAAAACAGGGTCAAAAGCATTTTCATTGGCAAGCTAGAATTTTGTTTTTAGCAACAATTTGCACATGATTTGTGTGACAAAGTATTCATGTCTAGAACTGTGTGTCAAGTCTACAAATTAATAGACAATATGTGAATTATCTTTCACACTGTGGACAAGACGGCACTTTCACCAAGGGAGATAATCAGGTAATACGTCACAGTCAAACAATCTGAGATAAAAACTGTAGCGACTACCAGACCCATGTTGTTTCTACAGTACTTGCCATAGATTGGGTGTATATATCATGATGTATGATATATACATAGAGATTACAAAAACAAGTGTGTGTTGAATATGGAAAATATTTCAACTCAATATTTTTATGTTTTGATGTATTCATGAGTGAACAAGTGAATAAATCAAAACAATTGAAAATATTGAGTTTGAATATTTTCCATATTGAACATCCACGAGTTGTGTGATCTATTTATTACAAACCAAACAGACGATGCCAAATGTAAACAAAACGAAAGGGAGGTAACTCTGTCATGACTACTAAATAGATAAAATTAACAATTAAAAATATACAATTGAAAAATAATACTAATCCCTAGGACACAGAAATTGAATTTAAATTATCCACGAGCCTAATGTTTTGTTTGGTTGACAAATTTGGTCAAAACTGCTTGATATGTAAAATATTGTCATGATATTGTAAAATATTGAGGTGGCAACAGAAAGTTTGGCATTATGACGTCACTATCATGTAACAGTTAAAAGCTTGCATGACCAGTTAAACACTTTTCTCTCCACTTTTCCTCCATACATGATCTTATAGTAAAAGCGGGTTGGTGAAATAGGAGTAGATCCTTTGCCTACATGAGTTACTATTTAGATCACTGTAACAACAGGTATGTTGAGTTTCTCAGAGGGAAATCTTGCATCATCATTAAAGCCCCCAAACACCTTTAAACTTAAGTATTATGAATTTTAGGCAACAGTAAACTCTTGAAGTGGTCCCTTATAGGGCTGGGACGGGTAACCCAGATATCTGGGACAGGTGGGTAATGAGTTGGTACCCGTCTCAGTACCCGGACCCGTTATGATCATGTGACTAATAGATTATACAATGTAATATGTTACTCTTTCATGATTAAAAGGTTGCATTGTCTTTGAAGATTTAGACATAATTTACAGTCACTTTATTTGAATATAATACATGGTTAAGATATTGGAAATTTTAACTATAAATTGTATATTTATATACTTATCCTATCTCACGCGATAAAGTCCCACCCTACCTCCCCACTACTTAGATTACCACCGTTCCGTTGTTGTCCTTTTATGGCTCCAAGATCGAGAATGAGTATGGAAGGTGATCACGTGGGTGAGGACTGCGCATGCCACGTGCTGTCACGGCCTAGTGAGCATGGCTAAGGCAGGAAGGCATGCACAGCACGGGGACAGGGACAAGGAAGGCCTGGAGCAAAGTTTTAATTCATTTCCACTCATGGTCGGATGAAGAGAGAGAGGTGCAAGTCGTGAGATAGGATAAGTATATAAATATACAATTTATAGTTAAAATTTCGAAATGTTTAAACTTATCCTATCTCACGACTTGCACTTATCCCACGGTAGGAAGGTGGGTCATAGATTACCCGAAGTTCAAGCAATAACAGCTAAGCGTTATGCCAAAACAACCGTAGGAAGCAACTACAAGGCAGGCCAATAACTACCAAAGTTACTACGTTTTAGGGTTAGTGCGAACCCATTGACTTACTAAGCACAAGTGCTCCCAGGGACCGGGATTCCCGAGCAATGTGGTGTTCAGTCACTACCTTCACAAAGTGAAAGGACGCAGCTTAGCGAGTGTAATCAGTCGCATCGCCACGATTTCCAAGGTACCCCCGTAATAAAAGTCTAACTACTAGTATCGGGCCAGCCCCTGCTTCGAAACAACCCCCACAGACACCGTCCCAAGGAGGGTGAAAGGGTAATTGAATCGGAAAATCTCACAATTTTAACGTTCAGTACCACAACATCATCTTATGACTTCCACTACTTACCACAGTAAGATCACATAGATGTGTATAGGTACGTAGGAGCATGAACGCTATGAAGTGTAACACTCCGGGAATGACTCACTTCACTGACGTAATTACTTCGTGGAGCAGAGGACAGTAAGTGAGGTGGCGACCCTCCAGCGTCTCCAAAGCGAGACCTGCGATGGTCAGTTCGAACCCATTGACTTACTAAACACAAGTGCTCCAGGGACCGGGATTCTAGAGCAATGTGGTGTTCAGTCACTACCTTCACGAAAGTGAAAGGACGCAGCTTAGCGAGTGTAATCAGTCGCATAACCACGATTTCCAAGGTCTGACGAC